TGTTGAACTATAGACTTTGTGAAGTCTAAGAGGGATTTGGCTGTGGGTTTTATAGCAAAGGTCTCAGCTGCTGTGGAGGTGGGTGGAAAATGTATAAAGCTCATATGTAAATAAAGGTTTGTGAATAACCACCTCCTGTTGAAATGAAGCAGTGCTGCCAGTCTATCATGTGAAAATGAATTTTTCTGGAAAAGAAGTATTTTAATGCAATAGGCTTCAGTGGAGAAAAAAAACAGAAGGGTGAGAAACGAACTGAGGCTGCATTTGAAGCTTTACATTAAAGTCACTGACAGTCATCTTTCAACTACCATTTATCACTTATAAAGAAAGACTTGTGGAAATAAAATGTTGGGTGTGATGTATGATTTATCAAATATCTTCAGCAGCACATTTTAGAAATATGCATGCCCTAGATTTCAGCTAGGAAATGTATGCTCTGAAATAGCATACAGGTCACCATTTGCTCATCTCCTAAATAATTTCCGTTTGCCTCCTGGAGCACTTTACAAGATAAAGTGGTAGAATTTTGGATCATTTTTATAATGGTGTTATTGTAGTCTACCAAGAAATCTGATGAACTTTGTACAGAACTTTAAAAAGCACTTCAAAAGCATTTCAGATTGATAAAGAGATTTAAACATGACAAAGCTCTAGATTGTGTAAGTCCAGTTTGCATTAAAGCTGTGGAAATGCATATTTTTGAATAACTTCAAGCACAGCATACTTGTTGCATAATTGATTTGGATTGTTTTGATTTCTTATGTTAGACTTAAATTCTCATTTTAGAGTATGGAAACTATTATACAAAATCAGCATTTGGCACACTATTGCACAGAAGGCAAGCTTTCTATAGATAAGAGACAAGTTTCTATAGATAATTAAGAATAAAATTCTTATAAAACTATTTCTGATCTCTCCTTATTATGATTTCACATTATGGTATGACTCTGAAGTATTGCTGTCATGATGCCTACATTGCTGATACTACTTTTAACAGGCTCCATTTTTGCATCTTTGGGTGTTTTAATTGCTTATATAAAATTGTGTAAATTTTCATTCTGTTTCTCAACTCTCAACATAAATGATATCCTGTATCAGTGACCTCTGGGCCTGATTTGTGCATTGAAAATATTAAAATCTGTGCTGCCTTGCTTTCAGTAGCAGTTTGTATTGAATTAACTATCACTTTGTAAAAGATAAGTGCTATCCTTTGCTGTTTCACCAGTTGAGCAATGCTAGGTGTTCTGTTCTGCAGACAAAGACAGAGATGATGGTGAAGATTTCCTTTCTATGAAGAGATTGTAAAACGAGGTGGGGAGCTCTAGCATGCAAACTTTCATCCTCCTTGCCCATTTTGATTTTCCTTCTCAATGGCTGTTACTTGATTTTTCAAAGAAATCTTTTCAGGAAATTAGCTTTTATAGGAAATGCATTTCATAGAGTGGTCTAAAATCATCACAATGTGGGGATCCATTTGCAGGATGGAAGAAATGGGTGAGATGAAAGTAAGGTGTTCCTTTGGCATTTGGCATTTGGCTTTGACAGAATGAGGAGGAACGGAAAAGGACATTTGGATAAGAGGCGTGTTGGAGAGAGAATGAAAAAGAGGTGCTGGTATGACGTCTGCAGGATGGAAAGAATTTTGGTGGTGGTTTCTGTCAAAGGAATGAAGTGTAGCTGAACAGTAGTCCAGACAAGAAGTTATCAGTGATGGGGATGGGTTTTGGAAGGGAGAGATGAAATAGGGAGGAACGTTTAGGTATCAAAGAAAGATACATAAGAATTATTGATTACATCATGTATTTGATGAGGATACATTGTACAGAGTCTTGTGCTTAAATGTATTACAGCCCAAGCAACCAAAACTATGCCTCTCAGTTACCCAGAGCCTGTGTGTCTCTGGCAATGACTGGGATCCAAACTAATCATGCTTGGGTCAACCAATATCTGTGATGTTATAGACAGTTCCAACTTGAAAGGGGGAATCCTTATGAATCACGGTTCTTTCAGCTTAATTGTCTTTGCTTATGAAGTAGCGTAAAGATATGTTTTCTCAAGGATGAGAAGGATCAAATGAGTATGGATGATTTCACATGTAAACTTGCAAAATTTCTTTGCGTTCAAAAGTCCATCAAATCTCTCAGCTTTCCTGAGGCTACATGTCTGTGTCAATTAATTTCTGAGCTCTTTCAATTCTGTACCTGAGCTTTTGCTTATGGATTCTGACATTCATTCTGAAATGATGTTTATCTTCTTTTCAGACTTCCCAAGATTTTGGATTGGGTCCATGCTATTTTCCAAAAGAACAATAATGATTTTTTGCCTAACATGATGCCTTCTGAATGTGAGATTTTCCAGAGATAAAAATAGTATAGGCATTAGATGGAACTGTGGTTCAGTGTGGCATAGCTTATAAATGGTATATCTTATTTTCTCCTTCTGTAAGCTTTTAAAATGCACATACAAATAAATGGTTTGTTTACGGTTTGCTTTATGTGAAAAGAAAATCAAAGAGTCATCCACTTTTTCTGAAGCCTCCTCCAAAACTCATCTTTTGAATAATTATATGTCTCAGTGCTTTCCAGTTTTAATTTTGCTATGAAATTTCCACTTGATAGTTTGCTGAAATGAAGAGTTGCACGCTTGACAATATTTTTTGCAATACAACTTCGTATCTGAATAGTCTTGATTAATTCTTCAGGATATGTTTTGTATGGGCCCCTTGAAAAATCACTAGGATAAAGGAACTGATGGATTACTCCATTTATATACTTCCCCCCATCCTTCTAGAGAAATTAAAGCAGGTTTTACCCAAAGATCATATCATAGCATCATAGAATGGCCTGGGTTGAAAAGACCACAATGATCATCTAGTTTTAACACCCTTGCTATGTGCAGGGTCACCAACCACCAGACCAGGCTGCCCAGAGCCACATCCAGCCTGGCCTTGAATGCCTCCAGGGATGGGGCATCCACAGCCTCCTTGGGCAATTTTTTCCAGTGTGTCACCACCCTCTGTGTGAAAAACTTCTTCTTAATATCTAACCTAAACCTCCCCTGTCTCAGTTTGAAACCATTCCCTTTGTTCTATCACTCTCCACCCTCGTAAATCCCCCTCCTGTTTATATGCTCCCTTCAAGTACAGGACGGCCACAGCAAGCTCATAGAAACTGAAAATTTAGTCAACCCAGTATAGTTAATTAAGAATACAAAGACAAAGGTCTTATGTGAAAAAATCAAAAGTAACAATATAAAATACCTAAGACCAATCAAATCTTGGAAAACCCATGACATTTTTCTGAGAACTGTCAGAACTGATTAGTTCTGATTAGAAGGAGCTAATCAGCGCGAGTGATGATTAGATGAGGAGAAAGCCTGTAGTCTGAGGAACACAGAGGATTGCCCCGTATCTTACCATTTACTTTGTCTTGATAAGAAACTAATCTTCCCTGGTTAATGCCTCTGTTTCATGTCTATCGTTGGAGAGATCTGTGTGGCATAATTGCAAGATGCTGTTGCCAGACATTAGTTGTTGAGTATATTGAATGCCCCTCAATACTGTAGTTTCATAAAGGCTGTAGAAGTATATTCATATCAACACTCTGTACCTAGAGACTGTAGATATAATCATGACTTACCACACACTTTTGTGGAAGCTTGTTGGAGATGTAATCTGTGCTATGTAGTATTATACCATTAGAACATAGAAACCCTCCTTTGCTACTATGACCAAATTATTCTTCTATGCATTTTGAAGATAGGACAATTTTTTCAATTGAATCCTAAGATTAGCCAATTAAATTGTTTATTTTTCTATTCACCTGCCAAGTTGCTTTGTTGTTTATCGTTACTGTAAAAAATTTAAGTTCAAGGAAAAAATCAAAGCCAAATGTCTCGTTTTTTCTTTCCTTTCCAAGGAGGTGGGAGAGCCTTGAGATGTTCGCATCCTATTGTTTCTTATCAGCAAAATATTTCTCATAAAAAGAAATATTTCTAGACTGCCTTATTTCTGTCTCAGATATAATTCTGGCTTATGTCTGAATATTTAGACACATTAATAATAAATGCTGTTGATTAGATTCAGTCTTTTGTAGTGTGAATATTATTAATTACATTCTAACTTTAATTGACTTATTTTACACAATCTGTGATCTTCCAGACATGGTAGATTAAATAATTACAAATGAGCACTAGGAGAAAAAGCAATTTTTTTCAGGGCATGTCTGCTTTCATACTTTCTCCTTGAGAATTTTAAGTGCAATTGATTCATTGGATATATAGGCATGGACAAAAGCTTGTATGTTGTATGAACTGTTGAAGTGTTAAAAAGGTATATATTTAAAGTATGAAGTATATGTCCTTCTTGAATTGAAAGCTTTCTGTAGAGAAAATGCTAATGTAGAAAGCCACTGTATGAAGGAAGACTGCTATGCATTTATGAGAGAAAAAGCAAGTGCACAAGCTTATGAGATCTGTCTGCACCCCAGACTACAAAGTAGACTTGGAAACTCAATCTAGTGTGTCTCTGTAGGATTAATTTGCTTCAGGTCTGAGAGATTTTCTTTGTAAGTCATTGTAGTTCATTTGGAGATGAGAAAGCACCTAGAAAGATTGAGGTGGATCACCTCCTGGTCATGTCTTCTTCCTGCGGGCTGTGAAGGGAAAGCAGGAAGACTAGCTCAGAATGGGTTGCCCAGTATTTTTATCCTTAAGTTGAGAAGATGGATTCCTTTCCTTCTCAGGTGAATGGATGGAAAATTAAAAAAAAAAAGTCATGCTCAAATCCCTTTTCTTTATCCCACAGTGAGACAAAGTAATCAGCCACTCCCTCCTCAGGTGTTTTTTTCTCTTTTGAGAGGACAGTGGGGTAAAATAAGGAAAAAAAAAAAAAAAAAAGGAAAAAAAAGAAAGAATGAAAGGAAAAAGAATCAACTATAGGAGATTTTATTCTTTCAGTAATAAGGAGATGTTAAAAGATTGCTTCTTACCTTTCCTTGCAGATCGTTCACAGGACTCTTGCAGCGATGCTAGGCTCTTTGGCAGCTTTGGCTGCATTAGCTGTTATTGGGGAGGTAAGTTATTGAACTGGAAGTACTCAGTTTGTTTCTTTCTATGATATAAAAAATTCCAGAGAGTGTTATGTTGCAAATGGACGCAGTAGTCTTTTTAAAGAGAGTGAGATGGTAGGGAAGATATTGGGTTGAAAAAACATCACAGGGAAAACAGAAGAGCTTAGGGTATGGACAGGGAGAGGAGAAAAGTCAACTGATACATTTTGTTCTGATTTGTAGGGAGCTGATTACAGGTATTTTCAGTTTAATTCAGACTTTAACACTGTTATTTTCAGTAATGTTAATATACCAATCAAGCTGCGTTTCTTTAAACTCCCCCCAGCTTGTTCGCAGCTAAAGCTGTATGCTTTTGTTCTCTAAGGAAAAAGAAAAGTGGATTGTACGATATAATTCTGTTATCGTTTATTTCTGTAATGCTATGTAAGGAGCAAATAGATAAATAAACCAAGAACTTAACGTAGACTTTTGATAATGACTCACTTAGGATGTTGCAGTACTTTTAATTAGTTGTAGTAGAAGTAAAAATAGTAATAAAATAATAAGAGATTTTTGGTGTGACTTAAAGGAGTGCTCATTAATTTCATTCGTGGCTTATTTAAATGACTCACTAATTAAATGGAGTTTGTATTTCATAGCTAATCACAAGTTAGCTGCTCCATGGTATTCACTGGTAATTGTATTTTTTGATTGCAGAGGCCGAGTATGGTCAAAGTGGTAGAGTGGATTGATTATGAGACACTGGCACTGCTGTTTGGAATGGTAATTAAGATGTATCTCTTGCTCTAAATATGTTGAAATTCTCACATTCAATATCTAGATGGTTTTGTTCTGATGAAAATTTATTCCTTACGGTGTTGATCAAAAGGATTATGAACAGACCTCTGAAAGGACCTTTGAAAATTTGGATTCAGGTTCTTTTTTTCTTCTGTAAAATTGTGATAACATGCCAAAAATATAATTGAGGTTCATAATAGGAAAGACCTGTTTAACTGCCAAGTATTATCACTTGTCTTGCTAATTTTGTTTTCTCAAAACCTTCCCCAAACACACTTAGCTGGAAAAAAAGTCTTCTGTTGCCTTAGTGCTTTGTTTGGAACCAAAAAGAGAAAACCTGAAAAGGAGGACAAATATTTGATCAGATTATAATAATACATTATCTTAATCACTTTTGTCCAGAACTATTTATGGTCAAAAGTGTGATTTAACTCTAACATGAAATACACAGTGTATGCAGACAAAATTGCTGCTATCTGTTGACAATCTGAGCCTTTTTTATTTCCTGACAATACTCCCCACCCTCCTGTCCTGCCCACAGAAAAAGAAAGCAAAAGAACCCCATAAAATCTATTGGCGGCAAAGTTGGATGGACTGGCAAATTCCCAGAAATGTTGGAAAGTGCAGAAATTGGTATCTTCCGTACTTTGTAGTGCATTACTGCTGAAAACTCACAGTTATTGTCTTACCTTGGTTGATGACATAAGGGAGATACTTTGAGTCTTTCATGTATGATGCCTACTTAGTCATAACAAATAAATTAAACCAGACTAATTTAGAGACTGTTTATATTGAGAACAAAATTTCACTATATGATGATATTTGAGGTGTCTGACGGCTGTACTGGATATCCTGATATGATGGTGATTAGATTCTCAAAACTTTGTCAAATATAAGAGACAATTTTTAGGGACATAAAGTACATCACATTGTTTTTGTGTAATAGTATTTGCAAACTATTTTTTTTTTTTTTTCTTCATTTTTTGGTAGATGGTTTTAGTGGCCATATTTTCAGAAACTGGATTCTTTGATTACTGTGCAGTAAAGGTAGGTTTGTTTTAGTACTCTTAATTATTATTAAATTAATTGTTAGTATTTAGTAAGATCTTCTGTGATATGACTTGGTATAATAGGAACTCTCTTTGGGCAGTTTACATCTATCATATTGCAAGTGACAGCGGTCATCTTGTAATTTTGAAAAAATCTCTCAGGAATGAAAGGAAGCCCTTAAGGCAATTCAGTTTTTCTTTTTTTTTTTTGTTTTTCTGAGAATGGCAAAGGCCCCCAGTAGGGTACACAAGTATATAAACAGTATAGAGCTGAATTATCCCACTAACTTCCCCAAGACTGTAGTTCCTCTGTAGCTAAAATCTTTCTTTATCTCTGGCAGTAGGAGAGAGGAAATATGGGAACAATCAGTTTTACAATCACAGATGATAAATGACCACAGACCTTTGCACAGCAGTAGAACCAAAGAATGCATGAAAAGGGTAATTCTGATGGATTGGCTGTAAAGCAAGTATTACTTATATTGAGGAACTCCTTCACCTGCTGCAAAACTTAATTTTCTTGAGAACTGTGGAAAGAAATAAAAAAAAGCAATAAAAAATACTGCTTTGAGCAAAGAACACCTAAAGAAAATGTGGGTGGATAGGTGCCCAAGCTGTATAGCCCTGTCAGTGCTTCTCTGAGGACAGGAAAGGTATCCCATTGTGTGGAGGTGGTGGGAGGGCTGAACCATACTAATCCACTCAGCCTCAAAGGCAGAAAGTGGGAACTCAGCCCTACTCCTACCACAGACCCCCTTTGTGTCTGGCAGTGGAGCATGGAGTCTCTTCACGTTTGTTTCTTCCTCTGCTTGGTGGAGATATTTGCATACTTCTGAGAATTGTCTTACTGCTAAATTAATTAATATTAGAGAGGGCACTGCTGGAGGTGCATGGAGCTTCTCTGAGCTCACTGTTGTTTCACTGTTGTGAGGTTGTTTATCCGTCATTTTTTCTAAAGTTAGATGGAACATTCCAGCCTTTTGATTTTGATGCTATTTTTTTTTGTTTTTATTAGGCTTATCGATTCTCTAGAGGCAAGGTGTGGGCCATGATTACGCTTCTGTGCCTTATTGCTGCAATTCTTTCTGCATTTTTGGACAACGTTACCACAATGTTGCTCTTTACTCCAGTAACCATAAGGTACTTTATTGTTATGGTTTTGGATTTAGTGTTTTACAGCCAGCAATCAGTAGTAAATCTATGTGCAAACATGCTTGTTTGGACTTTTCTTGGTCATCTAAACGGAAATCAAAACTTCAAATACGCCTATTTTAGGAGGGTAAAGAGCTGATGTTTTCAAAGTGATGAGTTGCTGTTTTCCTTTAGTGTTGGTGATGAGTATATATCTGAAGCCTGTTCCATTGGCAGCTGCCTTGGCAGCTAATCACTCTGATTTGTCTCCATATCTGAACTGCAATAGCATATTGTACCACTAATCCCTTGCAGGTGATATTTTTTCATCCTATAAGGAGGGAGAATATTTTAAATGAAAGGTACCTTGTTCTTTACTGGTTAAATACTATTTTGTCTTTTAATTTTTTTTTTTTTTTTTTTTTCCTGAAGTTTAGCCCTTCTGGTAGAGGTTGGAATATTTCAATATTTCAAGTAAAAGTCTTTGAAATTGAATTTTCTCCCTGCTAGTGATTATGACATTGGTACAGTTGCAGACCAATTTCATGAATTAAGGTTAGATATTTGGAACAGCAACTTAATTACTTCAGGATTATGTAAATTAACAGCACCAGATTTGCAATTACATTATATGAGTGTGTAATTATAAATACTGCTTAACATGAATTTAACCTGTGTCCAGTTAACCTGGTTTAGTTTCTGAAAGATCTAGGAGATAAAGATGATCCCAAGTGATGTAATACTTGCAGTTACTGTCACATTAAAGTACACAAAATTCTATTAGGATATGGTCCTATTTTATGAGGTAGTATAAAACAGTAACAAAAAAAAAAAAAAAAACCCACAAAAATAAACACATAAAATTGCAAGTGCAATTTATTCTGGATTGGGAAACGGTAAATGAAAGCTTCATTTTTTTTTTTGTCTGGTTATACTTTGAAGAGATCACTTTGCCCTATTCCGATTAATGATTTCACCTGTAACAGTAAGCAATTATTAAACACTGAGTTTTATTTATCTCTGTTGCAGGATATTTTGTATTAAATGCAACTGGGAATGAATTGAAAGCCAGATGCCAATGCATTATGAACTACTTTTCACATGCAGAGCTACTGTAGCATTTATTCTATTTTATGCCAAATGCATTTGTAACACCAAAGTTGCAAAATATTACCAAAGCAAAAATAATTTTATCTCTCCTCTAAGCTAATAGTTGCCTATTTCTGAAATTATATAATTCTGAAACTTCATGATGGGGATCAGTTTTTCTGTTCTTATCTTATCTCACTGCCATTGTCTTCAGCCTAAAGCTTTGATCCGTCACGCTGCGTTGCCATTGCCATGGAAATAAAAGCCTGCAGAAAATGCCACTCATTCTGTGCATATAAGGATTTAGACTGTCACTAATAAGATGTAAAACATGATGCTTGTTTCTCTCCGCGTTTTGCAGTAGGCTGATAATTAATAGCTAACATTCTTAGCTATTGTTTATTTTCAAGATACTTTGTTGCTGGGAACTGGGAAAGGCTATAGTTATTCACATGTGAAATCATATAATTGGGGTGAGTGTGCTGAGAAAGTTCAGTCGACCTGTTCAGCTTGCATACTGGGATTGTGCTGTACTTCAGGATTGGCCTTTCTTGGAGTACATCAGAGATTAATTCTTCAAGTTACCACTGGACTCATAAAAAAAAAAAAAAAAGCCACTAACAACAACAGGACAAACACATAAACAAAAACAACAACAAAAAGACAAACCAAACACTAAAGGAAAGCTAACTTTAGAAACACTGGAAAAGAAGGAGTGAGGAAGATCAGCGTACAAGTATGGTTGTGGTATAGTGCCACAACGGTTACAATTGGGCTACTTCTACTGTACAGCACACTTCAACTGCATAATTTTACACTATTAGGGGAAATAAATGCAGTTTTTGTACAGTTATTTCGTTCTGGACTTTTTATGTACTGACATTTGTATTGGCTGACAGTGCTTTTTCCAGTTTTTAAATTGATAATCCTGGTGACAGGTAAGTGTATCAAGTTAAGCTTCTGTGCAACACTTTTCTCTTTGAAATATAGATTTTAATAATATAGACTTAGAGCCATAAAGCTGAACTCTTCCTTCAGGGAAATGACTGGCAGTGCTACAAGGAATGAAATCCTTAGGATGAAAGCTCACTGCCCAGCCTTTTCCGTATCCCATATTAAGTTGGAGGGGGCAATAATTTAAGCCCTTGAATGGCCCCTTGAAAAGCAGAGTGGATTTTCCTTCCTGCACTGTGGTCGGAAGTGAGTACAGGACATGTACTCCCAAATCACCCTGGCCTCACACCTTACCATCAGGCTTTAGGGAATGGGTAAAATTGGGAGAAGAATTAACCAGGTAAAGCTAGGCTGAAAACAGGTCTCTGATATATGAATCATGGCTGATAGATATCCTGTCCTCTGCTTCTGCTCCCCACATGACAATCAGCAACTGAGGATGAGTGCAGTGCTTGTGGTTATTCATATGTTGGTGTGACCTGAGAACCATGGCTGAGAAGGTGTATAACACTGTGAATATGGTTTTAAATTTGAAATGCAATTTTCTGTACAGCCTAACTCTTGGGATAATTAATTACTTCTAATTAAATGCTTTTTTAAGCACATCAATTTCATTGCCATTGACTATTGCGTTATAAATGTAAAATATACGCATATTTTACATTGATAGTTCTATAATTACTGAAATGCTTATAAAATTAAAAGTTCAGTCATACACAACAAACATGAGCATGCAGATGTATTAATGTTAACATCTTGCAGTTTTTCCATTGGAAGAACTTTGTTTTGTAAATTGTATAGATTTTAAGATTTAAGGGAATTTGATCAGAGGGTAAGATGTTAATTTCATTTTCTTTACACTGCAGGCTCTGTGAAGTACTGAATCTTGATCCAAGGCATGTCTTGATTGCAGAAGTAATCTTCACAAATATTGGGGGGGCTGCCACAGCTGTTGGGGATCCTCCCAATGTGATTATTGTTTCCAAGCAGGAGCTGAGGAAGCAGGTGGGTACTGCAAGCTGCTTTTCTGCTAAAATTAAATTCTGATGCTGATTTATGCTGTGATGAACCTTTTATTCCCCAGACAGCCATATGAACAGAACACAAACAATTTGTCCTGCCACACTATTTCTTTCTTATTAGGACGATCAGACAGAGAAGAGTGATCTTCTGGGGGCAAAACTGTGATGAAGAATAGACTTTTTGATACAGACTGAGAATACTGGTTTCCTTTCTTTATTTTGGGGGATTTTCCTTGTCAGTGACAAAGTGAAGAAGGAATCAAAACGATGGAAGGCTGTAAATGCAGAAAGTTTCGAAAAATAAGAAATGGATACAAGAAAGAAGATGAAAATCTAAACCTTTTGTACAGAATGAGTTTTCTCTCAAAATTTAAATATATTGAGATCACTCAGTTCCTTCTTAGGACTTTAAAACCAGATATAACTGTCCATGCACACCACCCCCACACCATGAGAGGTGACACTACTCCTGTAGACCTATCTCAAATGCCGCCCAGCTGCAGGTGATGTCTTTATCCTCCAACCATGGCCCTTTGGGATATGGAGAGCTGAGTGGGGCTTCTGCCATGCAGCATGGGCACAGTTGTCTCCCACCTTCTGCCTCTCAGTGCTATCCGCAGGTACAATGGGAGATTCTAAATTCCTTCTCTTGCCTCTTCCATTTATGGATAAAATTGTTTCTTCACTTTACTGGGTGACTGGTACCAAAGGGAAGTTTACGGTGCCAGATGCTGGGTGGAACAGAAACACTCCAGACACCTGCCAATTGAAATGTGCTGGTCACACTATCTCCTTTCACCTATATGGCCCTCTCCATCCTGTAGGGACACCAAGCCACCAAGCATGTGTCTTCTATTTTATACAGGTTTCATAAACACCAAATAACTTTGTCACTAATGCCATACATAAATTCAAAGGAATTTGATGCTAGCATATGAGCTAGTATGAAAATATCTGTACAAGAGGAATGAGGGATTTTTACTGTAAAAGAGTTTTTTTTTGTTTTGTTTTGTTTTGTTTTGAGTCAGTTATCTTTCTGTTGTGTTAAAAATATTATTTTCTAATTAACTGCATACACTCAAATTATTTAAGTACTGTCCAGGTTGGAAAATGTCTTTGAAAGTTAATAGTGTTGAATTAATTAAATGTTTACTCTCAAAATATTTAAAAGGTAACTGCAATTAGTTTTGTTGAACTGTGACTTTGGAGACTGTAATATTCTTCACTGAAGATCTGATTGCTGATTTTTATATTTTTAAACATAAAATCAGTGCAATTTTTTCAACTTGTCTTTTCTAAAAGAAAATAATTAGCACCTGCCACAGAGGTCATTTTCCAAAAAACTCAGGAACTCATCATTTGCATAGAAACTTTAGCAGGGGCCATAAACACAGGGAGCAATTAAGCCATCACATTGAAAGGAAACAATTTTTTATTTTACTTGAACGTGGTATTGATAATTTTAGGAGGACTCAGATGTACAAATACTATAGCAAATGTGACAAATACTGAGTTCCAAATTCTGTATTTGAAACAAGCAGAAAAACTTTGCAAGCATTTTAGCTCTGGAGTATTTTCAGATCTGAGTTGGACCACAGAAAAAAAGGCATCAGAAAATAGAACCATGAGACTTGTTCTTCTTTTCTATGGTCTCATATGTTACATCTCCATATCTAAATGAGAGAAGGTCAAAGACATATCCTTGGCTCTGAGGTGGTATTTCATCTGTCTTCACTATTTTTGTCCCCTTTGCTTATGGCTGAGGAGATCTGCCTGGTAGAGTGCTAAAGCAAGAGTGAGGGCAGGGAAGGATCATCTGGATTCCTGCAGTCTCTGCTATTGGACTGATTTCTCAGTTCCTGATTTTGTCCATCCTCATTAGCAAGCTTCCTTTTATTCAGTAGATAAAATGTAGATGTTGTCTTTTTTTAGGAAATTAATTCTAGTAACAGGTGCTGTGAGGATGAGATATAGGATCAAACTCAAGCCTGCGTTTAAAATTTATGGAATGCCTGCTATATTTGTATTGAGTAAATTTTTTTTTTTTTTTTTTTTTTTTTTGGAGTGTTTCAGGGGTAAAAATTCTTGAATGCAATTGTTTATTTTAGTGATGTTTTGGAAATATTTCATGCAGTATTATTTGAAGGGTCTATTCCTGTTTCCTGCAGAAAATTGCAATTGGTTTTTCCTCTTTAGGACTTTATGAACAAAAATTATATTTTTATCTTGAAGAGATATGTGCTTCAAACTTTGGGAACTCCATTTTATGTACATAGCATGGCACAAATCGGCTCGAACCATTCACTGCTTTCAGAAAGGTCCTCTGTCTTTGGGAATTTCCCAAGTATCTGCAATCAAACCTTTGAAATTGGAAATTACTTGGGCTCTAAGCTTAGGATGTGATTACAGAATCTTAAGAGAATGAATGGTGAAGAGGTATCCAGAGGAAAATGGTGTCTACTAGTGTATCAAGCTTTAATATATCTAAAAGTGATAATGATAAGAGCAAGGATAATTTTATCTTATGCTAACCACTGGATTATATTCTCTCACAGGACTCTGGCTATTTATAGTGTTGTTATGAAGTGTGATAAAGCCTGTGCTGTTTATCTGATGTTTTCAAAAGATTTTGGACATTCAGCATTGTACTCAAAGTTGCCATTTGACATGAATTCCCCCAAAAATGGGCAGCCGTCAGGATCATCTGTCCTGCATTAAAGAGATTTTTAATCTTTGTGCTGAAATTTAGCATGCTGCAATATTAGTTGGTTGTATTTCAAGGCAAATTATGGTGCCAAAAATCTATGAATAGAAGTAGATAATTCTGACCAATAGAAGAGAGAAAATCCTATGTATGAATCTGTTAATGTATTTCAGGCTCCAGCAGATTGTGAAATGGATTCCCATAGCTTATTAGGCTATTCTTATTGAGTTTGCTTGGTAAAACTTTTAATCATTTTGTAAATTGCCTGTTCTTTCTGTCAGTGTTTCATTGATTTCTTTTCTCAAGAAAGATGAAACCCTAAGTAAGGTACATGAAATAAAATGTATGGCTTTATGGCAGATTTCAGATTTTTTTCCCTATCTCTGCATGTAGTGATTATTAAAGAGTACAGTGCAGGGCAAAAAGCGATGCTCATCAATATCTCAGATACCTTTATGTAACTGTGTTAGACCATCAGTGATTTCTGTCTCAGCAACATCATGAGCAGCTCCTCCTGAGACAACATAAATCTCAGTCACTCGGCTGGAAGGAATGTTTAATCCAGCGTACAAATAATAAATCACTTTCACTCTTCCTCATTTTATTGGCTTTAAAAAATTTAATGAAGGGCACTCTGAGTAGAAGCCCAGCATTTGTCGACCTCTGAATTACTGCACCTAGCAATAATTTTTGTTTTCTCTTTGCTATGAAATGGCTTTATTGTTCTGGCAGTGTCTGAATTACTAGAAGTTGATTTCACATCTTCAAAATCAGTCAACCCCCAACCTCCCCCATGCCCTTGGACAAGCAACCACAGTAGACCAGGATGAAAGAAAGCCAGTGTTTAAGGAAAACAGAATGACGCTTCCTCCCAGAGCGAAATTGGTATATTTGACTTTGTATTTAAAACCATAAAGCATAGAAAGATGCCCAGTATTTCAGCTTTGAGTCTGTAGGCAGTGGAACCTTTAGGTTGTTGTTTTGTTAAAACGAAATCTTTAGATTTTCATTGTCGTTTGGAGAACAGCAGAAATTTAACACAATCAGCATAGCCTCAAGTAAGGGATATTTGAGGCATGCATTGTATTTATCTGATGGATTGAAATCCCCTAGAAGAAAGTATTTCTTGCCTATTGTGCATGTCAATTCTATTTCAGTCTATTGTTCAGAAAATCTTTATGAAAATGACATTTTGTTGTATGCAGCAAATGTGGAGCACTTTACAGTATTTTTATAAATGCTGAACCCTAGCCCCAGCAGTGCAGAGAACTCAGGCAGTACAAAAAACACATGGAGCATGAATATTTGCTCTGTGTAGATGTTGCATGTCCTTACTAGAGAGTGGGCAAGGGAGCAAAAGCCACTGATGAAGTGTGCCACAGTCTTGGGATCCTTTTCTATGTCCCTTCTGTCTGAAGTACAACATAAATCCTTTGTAACAGGGCAGCAAGGAGCCCAGGGATCTCTGTTGTTATGGTTTCTCTGTCAGAATAACACAGCAATGCATCACTCCATTCCAAGAATGTGGCTTTGATAATCTCCTTCCTCTTCATCCCGTTCCCTTTCCTATTCTCTATTTTCCATTTTGGAAGATAGAAATGATCTCTAAAAGTTCTCCAAGATTCTGCCAGTTAACTGCTAATTATTTGGCAATATGTGAAATCTACTTTCTCTGGTCATGAAAACATATTCTGTGTACTGGAAACATAGTCTATGTACTCGTGCTCTTTAAGATCTTTATCAGTGACATTGATGATGGTATCGAGTGCACCCTCAGCAAGTTTGCTGACAACACCAAGCTGAGTGGTGCAGTTTACATGGTAGAAGGAAGGGATGCCATTCAGAGGGACCTTGACAGGCTGGAAAGGTGGGCCTGGGTGAACCTGATGAGGTTCAACACGGCAAAGTGCAGAGTTTTGCAGTTGGGCTGGAGGAATCTCAGGCATCCATACAGACAGGAAGGAGTGATCCTTGAGAGCAGCCCTGTGGAGAGGGACCTGGGGTCTTGATAGATGAAAAACTTAACATGAGCCAGCAGTGTGCCTTTGAGGCTTGGAAGGCAAATGGTATCCTGGGCTCCATCAAAAGAGGGGGCGGCCAGCAGGAACAGGGAGGTGATTGTCCCCCTCTACTCTGCTCTTTTGAGGCCCCATCTGGAGTACTGTGTCCAGGTCTGGAGCCCCAGTACAAGAAGGACAGGGAGCTGTTGGAGAGGGTCCAGAGGAGAGCCACAGAGATGTTCAGGGGACTGGAACACCTCCCCTATGAGGACAGGCTGAGGGAGCTGGGCTTGTTCAACCTGGAGAAAAGAAGGGTGTGGGGTGACCTCACTGCAGCCTTTCACTACCTAAAGGGAGCCTACAAACTGGAGGGGAATCAACTCTTTGAGAGGGTTGATAGCTGCAGGATGAGGGGAAATGGTTTTAAGTTGAGGGAGGGGAGATTCAGGTCGGACATCAGGGGGAAATTCTTTACCCAGAGTGGTGAGGTGCTGGAACAGGCTGCCCAGAGAGATTGTGGATGCCCCGTCCCTGGAGGTGATCAAGACCAGATTGGATGGGGCCCTCGGCAGCCTGGTCTAGTATTAAATGTGGAGGTTGGTGGCCCTGCATGTGGCAGGAGGGTTGGGGATTCATGATCCTTGAGTTCCCTTCCAACCCAGGCCATTTTATGATTCTGTGCTAAGCACCCAGCCCCAAGCATCAGAATGTGCAGCAAACTGGTTTCCACCATGAGCCCTTTTGACATGAGGAGCAAAAAGGATTATACTTGGTGGCGCTCTTCCTCATGTACAGGGTACAAGTTTTACAAGGTGCTAGTGACCATCAGGTTTCATTTTTGTACACAGGCTCTTGAGGATCACTGGAAGTAGGAAATGAGGAGGAAAGTTGGGAATGAGGTATGGGAAGAGAACTGGATCCAGCCTTGCGCTATCATGAGCAATATCTCTGTGTAAACTCTTTCCATAAATGTTTTCCATGTCACAAAATGATTTGTTTCAGCTAAATTGGAAGGCTATTTTGCAATCAAAGCAGAGCATAATTTTTTCTTGTATCCCCAAACCCTCAGATACAAGAAAAAATCAATGTGGTGATATTATGAAGTTCAACAAAATTCTGAATCTCAGAGCAGATACTCTTTTTAAAGTTAAAAACTCCCAATGTCAAAAATTAGGCTGACATTTTTTTTCTCTCATGTTGGTGTCTGCAAATCACTCTTAAGACTCATTTGTGTCATCAACTGCGTTAATTCTGACTTTTAAGAGTTTGTGACCTCTATCACATTTCAGTTCTTTTCAACTATCAGTCAAACCTTCCTATTAACCTCATTGTTTCTGTTTGTCTTTGAGATTGATGTGATTCTCCTTCCCATAGAGAAATTAGTTTTGTAGGTTTTAAGCAGCATGTTTCTTGTGCTGTATCTTTTGTTTGAGAAGCTTCTGCATTGCAGAACTTTAATAACAAAGCACAATTGTTTTGCTTTAAAATTGTTTCTTGGTATTCAGAACTTCCAAGCAAGTGACTTTGTAAATCTTAGTGACTGTGTTAATAGAATTGACATTGAACTTAAATTCCATTATCATATCATGGGAATGTCACCAGCTTGAACTCTAGAGTTTCCAAGTAATCTTCAGGTTCCTATTTCTTTTCTTCTTTCCAATAGTAGCAATTAGATTCATGCCTGAGTATCTCTGCAGAGAATACTCTGCCTGGAAATAGGTGTTCTCTCTCACAATGTGAACATGTTGCTGCCAGATTAAGGAAGATTTGTGGTTGGTTATTGACAGTAGGTCAGGTGCAAATGTAATTTTCCAGGTTTTGGTAACTGTAGGTTGGGAATATTCTGACCTTACTGCATTGCTCCTCAACCAGCTTTTTTTCTGGTCATTTTGTTACTCAGAAGATAACATTTTTTTTCCAGTCAGATTTGGTATAACTGTTTTGTACTTTCAGTGTTTTTAAGTCTTATGTCCCAGGTGTTTGTATTCGTGCTTGAAATTTATTTAATTGTGCTTGCCTGAAAACTATGATTTTTTTTTTTTAAACAAAAAACACCATCTGGCTTATTATGTGAAATCCTGGTTCTGATAGGGTTATTGTAAAATACATATTGTTATCTGTTTAGGACAAAAAGTTGGCCATTAAAATTTAACTATTCCTGTGATTCAATATGATTGAAAATGAATGTAGAGTGATTTAAGTGATTATAGTGATTTTTTTTTTCATCTGTTTTAGGTAGCCTAAATGTACATCAGAATAACTTGTAATGTTATTTTTGAGCTCTCTGAATTACACTCTAATGTAGTTAGTTTCCTTGAAACAGATGAAATGCCATGTGTACTGTACAGGGAACTTTATTGCTTTCTATTTATTGATGATTTCTAAAGTGTATACAGTTGAATACTTTTCCCTGTAGGTGTTATAGGAAAGTAACTGATTTTTAATTTGGGTTTTCAATTGCATTTCCAGGGATTGGATTTTGCAGCCTTCACAGGACACATGTTTATTGGAATCTGCCTTGTTGTTCTGGTTTCCTTTCCTTTTCTTGGACTTCTTTACTGGAACAAAAAACTGTATAATAAGGAGCCGAGTGAAATCGTTGGTAAGAGTGAGCATTAAAATGTATTTATAAGCATTACTTTGAATATGTTTGAAACACAAACTGACCACTGCCTTCTACGGTGTCTTCAGAGGGAAGTGCCCATTTTCCTTCAAACTCTCAATATCTACTTTTACTAATAATTGTAATTTTAATCATGATATTTTCTGGCTTCTAGAAATGGATTTCTTTTTCTTGTACTAAGCTTGAGGTGTTGACACAAACTATTAAACATATTCCAAAATTTAGGGGATATATTCCAACATTTAAAACCAAAAGCTTGAACACCAAGGTGTTCTTTCTCACTATAAGGACCATGTGCTCAAGGTGCTGATTTTACAGCTTAGGTTCAGAAATATGCTGGATTTTCCTTATAACAGGCATAGTGCACTGATGCCATCCCCTCACTGTTGGTTTTCTCCCACTGGATTTTTTCATCAATCTTTTCCTGGTTTGCAGTCAGTGAAGGTTGTTTCTTCAAGAGTAGAATAATTTTTTCAACTTTTCCCACCCTTAACTTCATCTGTTCTATCATCTCCGTAATTTAGAATGATTAAATGTGTCTCTTCTTTATATTTCTCACTTAAGTTGTTTCAAAAAGTCTTGATCAATCTGATTTCACTAACATTTTCAACAGCCATTGAGTATGTCAGTCCCTTATGTCTGTGCTTTCATGCCTTTCTATTTGGTGATCTTTAAGTTTTTTGCCATTAATCTCAGGCTTGCGTTTGAAAAGTGAAACTTAATAATAATCCCCAAATGTCCACAGTTTCTTTATGTGGTGAAAGATAATTCACAAAGTATGATTTCTTAGTGCGTTTATACAAAGATAGCTGAATATAACTGCTTCTTTCACAGGACAGTTGGTTTTTCACTGGTGTAGTTGGTATAACTTGGCTCCATTTGTAACCCATGGAAGAAGCAATACCTTCTAAAGCATAACGTAGCTATCTACAATAGAACAGATATATTACATCCCCTGAAACTTTAATTCTCTCTTTTGAGTATAAAGAGAGTCTAAGGTAGAGTGCTTCATGAAAGGTACCTAATTTATGCAAGATGAGTACCACTTACAGCAAGTTGCCTTGTCTCAGAGTAAACTAGCTTTAGGAGTAAGATTTTATTAAAAAGATAAAAATGACAGTCTGCTCCAACAGCTCCATGCCCATCTTGTGCTGGGGGCCCCAGAACTGGATTCAGTACTCCAGGTATGGTCTCATGAGAGCAGAGAAGAGGGGCAATAAAGATCTGGGAAAGGAATCATCTATTTTCCTGGAGATGAAAGGAACCCTTGCAACACCCAAATAAATCTGCTTGTAATTATGCATCATTATAAAAAAAATCTTATTTTTCTTTCTTGCTTGGAAGCTTTTTATGAAAATCTTTAGTACTCAGCATATTTTTTTTGTAACTCCTCAAATTTTTTGTTAAAAAAGAATCAATTTGCTTTTATTCATTTCTCATTTTCTTGTAAAAGCAATAGCTTCATGGACATTTTCTTGAATAACTGGAGTTGTTATATATCTAGGTTATCTTTAAACATAAAGCTTGCAAGGTGTCCTGAGATAAGTATTATCTACACAGTCAGAAAATTCAATTGGTCAAATATTAACTATTTTCTTTAGACATAGCAGCATTATTTTGTGGACATACATTTTAGAAAATTGATGCCTATTTTCTTTCATCTATAAAATGTTAAGCTTTTTAAAAAATTATTTTAAGAAATCAAGTATATAAAATCACTGTTGGATTACCTTGAGTAGTACAAATTTTTCACTGGCATATTTTTGCAAGTGAAACATTGTACACTTTTTAGAGAGTATCATATTTCCCTCAATTAATCTCCTGGTAATCATTGTTACTTGCATCTTAGTATGTTCAGATGTAGCAGTCTTATAATTGGTGTACCATGTGTCCTTTCCCATAATCAGCAACTCCATTTTTACTGCAAAGCTAATCAGTAGCTGCTCAATTAGAGTAAATGCTAAAGCAGCTCTCTTTCTACTGAAATTTTATGTGAAATGGAAAGAAAAAGTGACAAACACAGACTTCATTAGGATGTAGCTGGAGCAATTTGGATTTCCAGAAGGAGCATAATGTGTTCCAAGGTGCTTTCAGGGGTTCTTCCATCTCAGGTGGTAATGATTCTGTGATCACTCAAAATGGCTTGTTTGAAACAGCTGTTCTAATCAGCTGAATATCTGCCTTCCCTCGTCCTGTCCCTGATTAAGTAAGATATGTGAGACTTACCTGGCATATTATTGTCCAAAGATTGTTTCAGCCTGCTATGTTCCTTGGGCTTTTTCTGATGTTTCTGGGCTACGTAGACTAGTGAGGTCAGATAAGTACTAATTTTAAGAACAAATGATACTGTTATTCTGATGATAAAGTGATATACTGATTTCAATGCTGTAGGTTACCAGTGTCTTTAAATTAGTGGCTTTTAAACTGAACTTCAGCACTTGTAGAGAAGAAAAAGTGTACATTTCTTCCCCAGCAATACCATTTACCTACAGAGGCTTGAAGCACAGTATATCAAAAAACAAAAAAAGGGTCTGAGCAACTCAGCCATGAAAGGCATAAGCAAATTCTGAGCTCTTGTGAGGACTTTTTTGAGTGCGACTTTCAATTCATAGAACTGCGTCTTGTTCTGTGATATTGGAAGAGATGATAGAATTAGGGTAGTAAGCTGAAATTTAAAAGGAGTATGTATACTGTTTCCCAATAGAATATGCTAGACAAAATAAAAATACGAGTGACAGAGGAACTAATGTTGCTGTTCTGCCTCCTTTCCCCTGATCCCCGAAACATTTTCTTACTTTTAGTTGAAATTTTTACATTCCTTACATGTTAGCTATGTGCTACTTTGTCCCTTGGAAGCATGACAATACATTGCTCTGTTTCAGCTATCACGATGTGGAGCTGTAGACTACAGTGCCTGGGAAGGTCCTTTTCCCCAGGGCAGTGCGTGATGTAATCTGGGATTATCATCACCATTTTTGCTAAAGAATATAAGCTTTCTCTTAGTGCAATGACTGATTTGGCACCAGTTCTCCATTTCTACTGTGTTGCTTGCTTGTGTTCCGGACCATTTTGCTTGCTGAAAGAGAGACGCACTTATTGAAGCAGGAGGGTTGATGACAGAGTAGGGAGCACGTTATGCTTCAAACGTAGCATCAGCTACATCTGTCTGTATCTGCTGGGAAAATAGTGCTATGGTAGTAGGATTGTATGCAATGCCTACAACAGAAGAAATTTTCTAATTAATCACAGCCATGTAAAGTGCTTCATGTGTGGGGAAAAAAAAAAACAAGCAAACAAAAAAACGATACTGTTTTCCTCAACGTGAAATTTGCTAAACAGATGAGTGAGCAAATCTGTTTCTTCTTCCATGTGGAGCTTTGCAGCTGCTTCTCTAGCAGCTAGGGGAAAAAAGGGGAAAGTAAGAGGGGAAAAAAAATAGGTATAAAACTGTGATTATTGTTCTGTTGATGTGAACACCTCTGCCTTTTGGAGTTATGAAATGCCTTGGGGAGTGAATCCCAGGACGTGTGGTGTGGGTTAAGGGTTAGAAGCTTTGTTACATTCTTGTGGCATAACAGGCTTCCTTGCTGCTGGAGGAAGTTTCCCTTCCTCTCTGTGCTATGAGGCTTACCTGAGTTTCCATCCGGATATAGGTTGGTCTTAGGCCAGCTAAACACCCTCAAGCTATAATACCTTTGAAATGATTTTTCAAATAGATTCATAGTTTATTTCTGGCCTGGAGGCATAGTTTATCAGTCATGGTTTGTCAGTAGGCACCTAAGAGTGCTGAAAAAAATGAAATTTAAAAAATGATTTAGTTACATCAATTGCGTCAAATTGATGTAGGTTTAAATTTTGTATTTTGCTTGGTTTTGGAGGGTTCATATGTTCTCTCTCTCAGACGAAGCTCCAGTTCACTCTAGGGGCCACTCCCAGAGATAGCTGTTAGAAGATTACCAAATATTTGGATTCCTGAATGCTGCGTGTCTCTCCAATGCTACCCTGGCTAGCTCTGCATCCTCTAACACTGTTGCATATCTTCATGCTGCGCTTACACCATGCTGTACAACCTTTGGGATTAACACTGGGGATGAACTACTATGATGATAATCTGTTGGACAAACCCACTATTATTTCAGACAATTTCATTTGGGGAAAAAAAAAATAATAATAAAAAAAATAAAAAGCCTGCATAGAATGATAACTATGTCCAGGATTACAAGGACAAGGCAAGAGCAGAGCGGTGACCCAGGGTATAAGGTGTCATGGAGCATCATTACAGCTTTGTGTGCCACTTTGCCTCAGAATTTAGTCCTGTTTTAGTTAATAATGTTATTAATTTATTTGGTAACAGTAGGAACTGTTGCATGCTAGAATCAGTGAGAGGTAGGTCATGTACGTAGCTGGATGAAATACATCAGTATATCTCTGTCCTGTGTAATGCAGGTGCTTTACTAACAGCCAGTGAAGTATTACTGGCGTTTAACAGAGCTGTTGAAAGCAGTGGGTTTGCTTGATTTGGAATCAAAAGTAAATAAATACAGGTTATGGAGGTTCAGGTGACAGATCCAACAGGCAAATTATGCAGAGAATAATGTCCAATGAAAGGAGTATTTCAAGATGTTTTCAAGCTTTTAGCTCCAAGCTAAATCTAGTTGGCAGTTGAGCAGTGCACATTGCTATTAGCTGTCCTCATCCAAAATGCTAAATTAATCACAACTTCTTGTCAACTTCTTTTACAATCAGTTGTGATTAAACTCATATTGGGAAATGTTTCTCATGCCTAGAATTGAGTTTTTTGCTAAAAAAACCACATCACAAAAGAGAGGTCAGCATGTCTTTGTGCATATCGGTATATACCTTTGAGTTTCAGAACAGAAAAGGAGTGATTTGATGTGAAGGATACATGAATACTCTAAACTTTGCCCTATTTTTTGTTATAGGCAACACCCATGTTTTGAGCTTGAATTGCGGGACGG